CATCGGGAGATCGGCGGCGCAGCAAGACAAATTGTATAAACTCATTGTAGTTCGTATACATGCGACTCGTCTATACAGAAAATAGTCATCGGGCCTTTCGGCGCCACGATTGCAATTCACACATGGTATGATACATTGTGAAGGGGTTTTTGTCATTTTGTGACGAAAAAAAAACACAGCAAATAATTGTAGATGATGACGTTGAGAAATATTAGACATTGGGAATTGATGTATACATATCCCGACCCGGCACGGACGGGCGCCGGCCCACGGCCGCCACCGGCGAACTCCGATAACAAAGTTCCTCGCTTGCACTTGAAAAAGCAACACACCGCGTTCCGTCTAAATTGCCAGAGCATGTTTCGGGTGCTAAAACTTGCCTCTTGGCTATAACTGCCGATGTTTTGTCCTAAGAACAAACAGATCATTTTTAAGGACCATACAGATTTGTATTTTCAGCAACCCGTAGTAATGTCAAAACCAGACGGATCGCGCCATTCTTCGTAAAATAAAAAAAGACTTTTTATGGACGGATCCATGTATATCTTCAGGGGTATTTTTTTTTCAAGGTTTTACATCGTTTCTCGAATAAAGTCTTTACGAAAATTTTATGTTGACGTTGAAGAACTCATTTTAAAACAATGAAATGTTTTGGACTTCGTGAAAAGTATAATTTGTAATTTACAAGCGCGTGGAAATAATGGCAAATTGTTCTTATACGAAAACACACCCCTGTGTCGCGCAATACAGCAAAAAGCTGCACGTGCTTTTTCGTAGAGAATGCATCGTACGTACATAAGTACATGTATACATACATGTACATGCAGGGTTACGTTATACGGGGTACGTACGGTGGGATAGCGGTTTATTTCGAAGTTTCTCGATCGACTCTCGAGTTCGCTGTCATTCTGCCACTACGCAATGTTTGCAGGCTGATGTTTAATATCGGCGCCGGTATTTTTGTAAGGAGGTTGCCTCCTCCTTCCCCTCTTTTTGCTCTCCTCCCTCTTTTTTCCTTTCTTTTCCCCCCTTTTTTGTGTGGAGTCAATTAGACGGGGGCACGTGCCCCCGCGGCCCACCCCTGGATCCGCGCCTGCTGTTCAAGTTGAACATGAGTTGTATTATTATTTTGTAGTTCAGTCGTACAATTTCATATTCGATTTGCAAAAATGTATTCAACTTGACCTTTGATATCATTTCATTTTGAGGGCATTAGTGGTTCAAATCCAACTGGATGATTCAGTGTTATAATTTCGAGACGTTGTAGTCATCCAACAGTCTGTCCTCGGCACGGTAGAAGGGAGCCCATGGATGGCTGGGCACCAGCCATACCACTGATCTCTATATAAAGACTGGATAGCGGATATGCATACAACATTCACACAGTAGCCTTCGCATATTGACCAATTCGCCCCCGGTCTCACGAAGATGGCCGCGTATAATACGAACGTTCTACGCGTAAATACGCGCGCGTTGTATCAACAGTTGACGCGCATTTTGGTCACGTACACATATTATGATGTTCTAAAAGGGACATATTTCCGTAGTGATTATTATTTCAAAACGCCGAAAAAGTTATATTTGCGGCATTTTAGTAACCACGACGTTAGAAAAATTGTAGTTAACCTTGGTCAGTGATGGTGGTCAAAATATAAGTCAAGTGAACCGCGACGTTACAAAAGAAATCATGCTGTCTATAAAAACGGCAACTTGGCCTTTGTAGATCACCAGCCGGTCTCACCAATATGGCGTCAAATTCGTACATTGTGCGGCTCTGTATAGACCGCTTGCAGACGCGTTCGATAATCGACGCGCGAAGGCGCGCGACGCCATGTTGTGGGTCAAGCGTATATCTATCCGTGCACATTTTGTCCCACAACATGGCGTCGCGCACCTTCGCGCGTCAATTATCGAACGCGTCTGCAAGCGGTCTATTAGCTATGCAGTCTTTATATAGAGATCAGTGAGCCATACACACTAGACACGTGGTAACTATGGCAACCAGTACTAGTTGCTAAATTCGGACCATTCTTGAGTCTCATTATATAGTAGCTGAATTAAAAATAAATAAGTACTACGATTGTAGAGGAAAACGGACATGGCATGAATGGACGATTTTGTTTCTTTACCTCTTTATCTAAATACTAGAGCGGGTGAAGCCTTGTAAGGCCAGGGTTGAAAACAGACGAGACACGTGGTTACTATGGCAACCAGCACCAGTTGTTGAGGTTGGAGTATTTCCAAGTCTCACTAAATTAAATACAATACATCACTATAGGGGAAAATACAGAAGACGGATAGTGCCACTTAATGAGTCTGAACTGTATTTTTTTTTGTAAGTGTGAAAATATTTTTTTTGTACAGCGGCCGCCACTAATTATGTGGCGGCCGGCCGCATAATAAGTAGCGGCCGCTGTACCCAAAAATTTTTTCACACGTTCAATAAAATAAGTCTGAATATATTTTGAAGTGGCTTAAGCCTTGCGGGGGTTGAAATGCATTGGGAGTCAATTCACAACAGTAAGTCACAAAATTTACTTGATTTTAATGCCGGGTTTTTCTCATTTTTTTTATGAAATGCATTACGAAAGAATCAAAAGGATAATCATATTGACTTAGCAAGCCAGTGTGATTTGGGACATGTAGGTCAAAGTGGGAATTAGGCATGACGAGGGTGGAAATTGTTAGGTTTTAATTCACCTCTTTAATTGCAAACATTGATAACGCAACCGATTTGGGCAATTTCGGTTGATTTTTCCCCTACAGTTTCAAAGGGCAATCCATCCTAAAAAGTGTAAGTATATGTATTATCCAATTATACGTAATCAAAACCATAATGCTCGTATATGTGGAGGAATTTATGGCAAATCTTGAGTATTAAACTTTATTATTGTTTCCCACGTCCGCCGACCCCTTTAAAACATCAGAAGAAGCCATTGATGTTATATCTTGACGCTGAAATTACATGTTTTAGCCACTATTTTAAACTGTTGTTTGCCTTTCAAAATGCAGTTTACTAAAGCCTAAATGAAAATGTTTCCTTTCTTTTGTGATTAGGGCAATCGTTGGCTTTTATTATCTAGTGAAAAAGTCATGAAACAGTTAAGGGAAAAAATTCATACTTTGTTTGCAAAGAAATAAGAAAATGCATCTGTCCATATTTTGGAACTTTTATTGGCCTACTCAGCAAATACTCACCGCATATTTGCTGATATAGATGTTGTTTTGCGGTGGATAAATGCCTACCCGAGTGCATGGCGGATCTGGGATTTTTAATTATTTAAAGAGGGTTGTTGGAGGGTGTTGTATTTAACACAGAGACAATAAGGACCACGGGCCTACTAGGTAATGAATGGAGATTTTATGCGTTATTTCGCAATACTGTTGCATTATTTGGCACAATTATTGCGTTATTTTGTACTGCGTACGGCGTTATTTCGCAAAAGTATTTGGTATTTCGTAAAAGGTAATGCGTTACTTCGCAAAAGTATTGCGTTATTTTGCATAAAAATATTTTATTTAAAAACTTATTAAACATGGCACGAACGGGCTTCCGTAGATATGTCAACACCACTTTAATCTGGTTCCCTGACCTGACTATTCCCGCCGCCCTGACGTCTAAATCGTATGTAAGGTAGCCGCCACCTAGCTAAAAATAAACATGATGACCATTTTCAAAGTTCGGCTTCGTTTCCGGTGGGGCTGTATCATTAAAAGCTCTTAATGCTCCTAACACATTTTTCAAAAATAAATCACTTTTTTCATAGTTCATACAGTTTGGTATTTCTGGAAAAAAAAACCAATGACTATAAATGTTGAGCTTGAAACTTCAAAGTTTTTAGGGACCCAAATAGCAGGCGAAGCCGAACGGAGACAACGCCGAGTTGTGTGACCGTCGTCAGATTCAAACTAGTACATGACGCAGCAATGTTCGCCCCTCCAACGATACGAGTGCATACGTGATGCACAAAGTCGTCATTGAATTTTCAGTTTTCTAAATGCAAGCAATGAATATTAATTATCAACTCACGAGAGAAGCAATGAGGGACAAAGTGTCTTGCCCAAGGGCAGTAGGGCACACGCACCCCAACCCCAGGCTGGACTTGATAAAACTCTTCTTGATTCCGATGATTCGTAAGTTGACGTGACCGAATTTATCCCCCGCCCAAATTAACGTGAAATTAGCAAAGTTCGTAGGTCCCAAGTGTTGTAGATGCGGATGCTGACACAATCCGTAAGTTTTATTCATTCAGGTGTTCATATTGATTGTATTCTGAATGATTTGATAGGTTCAGTATATGCAACCTTCTCAGTAAAGTTTTTGTTTGGTTAGACTGGTTCCCAGTCCCTCCGTTGTCCTTCGGGCTTCAAATGTAGGGGCCGATAGCGGGCAATGAATCCTGGAGGAATTCCTCCAGGTGTACGTAAATTAGCCTTAGTCTGAATCCCGCCCCCTTGTAGACAAAATCACATTGATAATGTAAGCGCGGAACCAGCATTTCGCAAAATGGCAACAATTCTATCACGAGTACAGTGTGTATAGGCGCCTGGACAGGGGCAGCCGTTCTGGAGTTCTTCAATTTTTTAACAAATAATCGTTATTTTGTGTTCCTTGTGAAATGAATGCGAAGTCTGTGTGGTGATGTTTCGATTTTCGCTGAATTCAAAATTGTCTCTGGCAACTATCAAAGAGAGGGGCACTGCTTTTCAATATTTGAAACTTATGCAGGGGAAAACTCGTGGAGACACTATTGCGATTTTGCCTACTGGTTATGGAAAGAGTCAGTTTTCCGATAGCGATTGTGTTCAACAGTTACTGTCATCCATGCATGCGCGAGAAAGTATACATCATACTGCGCACGAGCAGAGGTGATCCAATCAAAGACTTTACATGAAAACTAGCTTCCGGTTCCCATATTATGGTAGCGGGGAACCAGTCTAAGTTTTCGTGGGTTTATCTCAGATAACTTACATACCAAGTGCAGGCTCAAACACAATCATTTAGGTTAATCAATAGGGCGATGATTTAATATGTTTTCCTTTGTTTGTTACTAAAATTAAGTATTACAATGTTTGCAATTACAATGATTCATCACCAGTACCGTCTCATTACCATCAATTAACGACCCAAGTTGACATTTTAAGCTAAGGATGCGTTAAGAGAAGGGACCGAATAAAGCACTTATGTAGCAAAGGCTGTTTACAAGGCAGCAACTGTTAAGAACCGATTATTTTGATATTTTTTACTGATTGGCAACAGTCCAGCACTGTTGTAACATTTGAAGCGATTGCATTGCAGCTTGGCAGTAAATTATTGGGTGATATTATGCTGGGTTTGAGTAAAGTTGTCATCCACTGTCCTTTTAAAAAATAACTATCGAGTAAGCTAGATTTTTGACTTTGTTTTAAGATCATGTGACCAATACTTCATTAGAATGAGGCAAATCTATCCAGCATCACATGTGTGGAACTTTAAAATTAACTCCAAATTTGGTTTTTCAAACAATCATTTAAAAATTGATGTGTATTTTATTCATGGGATGAGCATTGGCGTGTTGAAACTACTCGGGAAGTGCTTAGGGTGTGAAAAGCAGAAGGTTTGGCGAGTCTCGCGCGTCGGAGATCTTGTCGCGGGTGGCGCTGTTCAACAGTCTGTTGGTGATGTCAGCCGGGGTCAGCATTGGGTCAACACTCAGAAGAAGCGCAGCAGCACCTAAAAAAAGATAAAACCGGTATTAATTGGGGCACATATTTGGAAGACATAGGCATGAGTACTCAGCGGTAATTTTAATCTGAATTCCGGTCATACAACAATAATCGCTGAAAACCAAAAAGAAACAAAATATATCTTTTTAAACTATGGTCACCTATGATTCTATGGTCTTCGAATGGCAATTTTTAAAGATGTCCGTCCTTTAAAAAATGGCACCTAATACACTGCCAAAAAGCTATTTTCATGAACGTTCTTTTCCAGTTGTTTTACATTCCGCTCAATTCAGCTCCTCAATTCATGCCAAACCACCGAAATTGTCTGTCGGGGTGGCATTTCACAGAGAGAAGTCTTTCCGATGGAGATAAAGAGACGTCTCTTTTGAAATGCAATTTTGAGGAAAGAATTCTTTCCACAATGTGGTGACGAGTCTCGAAAAACAATGAACGTCTTTTTATCTGAGTATCCTGTCTTTCCGTGATAATGATTTAGAAAGGAATCGCAGAATGTAGCTCTTGGTTTCCTTCCGTAAAATAAAAACTCTCTGTTGAGGAGTATTTTAGGGGAATGCAAGTTGTTCGATATGGGCGCTGTTTTGGGTTTTACCAGCTACGTGTGGTGTTGCCATTGATGTCCCGCTAATGGTATTGTAGTCGTCATCCCCCTCGTTATAGGCCGCTGTGATGTAGCGACCAGGTGCAAATATGTCCACACATCCACCGTAGTTCGAGAAGTAAGCCCTGGAGTCGTCGTCTTCGGTTGCGCCGACAGTGATGGCCTGAAAGTGGATCGTACAAGTGTTACATGGGAATAACGACAGGTGAACTATTTGGCCAAATTCGTAATCGGGAAGCTAAATGATGTTCAGAAGCGAGCCCCCGTGGACCGAATCTCATGGCGATGCATGCTGTGAAACAAAACTGCTCAAAAATCTTAAGTAGGCCAGGCCCTAGTGTGAATAACATTAACTTGTTGAACGTCATGGCAGTTGCTACTTTACATTTTTGAGGAAACGGATAAAAGTACGTGTGCACCATTTTTGGATTCAGTTGTCAATGCACGTAATGAAAAGTTTGCCCGCGGGCATGCTTTTTGAAACCACCTTCAATGATAGTTTTCTACCAAACGATACCTCTCAGACGAAACAAGTTTACACAAGGTATTGATACATTCCTTTAGGTTTCATCAAGGTTTCTGTTATTACATCAGTAGGTACTTATCCATCTACGGAAAACTTTCTATGACTGTGTACTAAGAAACCGCTACTTGATAAGCATCGTTTGCTTAAAATAATAATGGAAATCGTTTGTATTTAAAAATAAGGAACCCTGGGAGCACGATAATTTTGTTCGGTCATTAATTTTTTTTAAAATGCTTTATGCAGTCTCTTTTCAGCAATTGGCTCAAAACAATTTGATGATTTTTCGTTTAATAATAAGGGCCCACAGCACAAAGAGATAACGTTTTAATTACCATTTTGGCATCGTTTTGATCCCTTGTCTTCGTAAATTCAAAAGAAAAATTTTGGCGTGGTTAGTCTCGCTTTCGATTCGAGATGGCTGACGTGCGAAAATGTAAAGCGAATACCTCACCTCTGGTGCTCTGGCTGGTGACCTCCGGCAGGCCTCGTAGCCGTTGTTTCCAGCCGCAACCACCACCGTCACGCCCTGGGCGTACAGACTGGCAACGCTCTCGTCCACCGAGCGGGATCCACCGCCTCCCAGCGACATGGAGGCTACGGCTGGACGTATTCCATGCTGAGCCACCCAATCCATCCCTGATTGACAGAAATATACGCTATAACTGACCGAGTGGTGGCGCTTTTACGACTCCATTTATAGGAATACAACGACGTAGATCCAAGGCTACTGACGTTTAGTTGACAACTTGCGTTACTTCCAAAACTTTTTTTAATCTTTAATTGAAGTATATGCTTCAATAAACATAACGTTCCTCTTGTTGTTGCGCGAGCGAGGAAATGGCGTCTTTATGGGTTATTTTAAACCTTTGCTTCATGTCTTAGCTTCGGCTTCATCTGTTGCTCCAGAAAATCTGATGCCTTTTTTGCCAAACCGAACGTTAACAACCTCCGACCGCGTACATTGGGATTTGATGATCCAAAAGCCAACAGTCGATGGCTTGAAAATCTTTTGAAGCCGAAAAGGAGACATACCCGAGGTTTGGGAAACACCTGTACTTTTGCATTTTGACTTGGTAACGAAGTAAGCCTAATTTGTCGCTTGAAATTGGTTTCAGACAGAGTTTGTTAACACTCTGAAAACATGACAATTTAGATATTGATTAGTTATTCTAGTTCTTGAGCATTGACTTAAAATTGCTTCTCACTTTGTAAAACGCACGTTGTTCGGTGAAACCTGACTTCAGGTTTTTAAAGAGCTATATTCTCGACGCGGGAGTTTGTATAATATTTCACTAATTCGTCGTGCACAAGATTATGTATAACTTCAATAGGCCTACAGACTATGAAAGGCGGCAAGCTCTGTTCCAGTGTTGTAGACTTGTAGTAAATTGAGTTGTGACGGATCACAAATACATCACGTGCGGTCGACCTCATGTATAATCACAGGTCAATTTACAAGTCCGGTCACCAGTAACATTGGACGGACAAAAACTAATAAATGAGTTTGTTAAAGTTAATGAATAAACTGTGAGTTGACTTTGGGATGGATGACTTGTTATGGACTTTGGATTGACTTGTGATTGATCAGTGACGGCTTTGTGACGGACTTGCTATTGATTTGTGACAGATTTGTGACGGACTTGTGATTGACTTGAGATTGACTTGTGAAAGACTTGCGAAAACTTGAGACCCACCACAAGTAGGCCTACCCGTACTGCAGCACTGCTTTATCACTTACCTTTGATGACTGACGACCACGTGCCAGATCCCTGACAGCCCAGCACACGCACGCCGTACACCATGGCTTTTTTAGCCACACCGTACCTCAGTCCCGCCGCGGTACCGGCGCAGTGTGTCCCATGGCCCCGGCAGTCCGTTCCGTTGCCCTTTGTGGAATAAAATGGCATACCATTAGGTATATCCTTATTATAAATATTGAACACAGTGGGAGGGCACTATTTGGTTTGGGTAAATTCTTTTTGTTTTTGCCCCAATTTACCTAACCAAAAGTAACTCTAAAAACATCCGGGTCAGAATGATCGGGAATCCGGATTCTATCGACCTGGAAAAGTGTCGTTTTCGACCCGGAAAATGGCTGAGCAAATAGAATCCGGAAAATCGACCAGGAAAAGGGGTCATGTCTGACCCGAAAAGGGTAGTCTGAGCATGGTCTGAGTATATCACCTGTTGTCCAACGGAGCCCTCTAAATCTCCGGCCCAACGTATGTCTAAGCCTGAAAATGTATGCGACCCCCCGTGCCAGCCAATCGGAGTCGACATGACGTCATTTCATTCCGAAATCTGGACAAAGCTATTGATTGGTCAACTTGGATGCCATGTTTTTGTAATACAACCACGGGCATAGAGATCTATATTAAACCCGACTTTGGCTTTCAAAACGGGTTACCGAAGACCTGATACATAAGGCGCCCGCTGAATGGTCAGAATCTCGAGGTCAAGACGCAGTCTAGTTGCGTAATTAATCGCCGAATCTGCTCGCATATGATAGAACCTGTGCAAGGGGGAAAAGGGTTGAGCCAAAAGGAACCCAAATTTCGGCATTTCGGGATCTCGAGTGTACGCCATCACCTGGCACGTTTGGCCACTGGCTAGCAGAAAATGTCTGCGCTTAATTTTGTGCTTGAAAGCTCGATCTATCAGAGTCAGATAGTGACCTCAAATTTTAGACCGCAACACGAAAAAAAGTTGTAACACTAAATAACTTCGCTCGTCCCCATTGCCGTGGGCGCTGGTGACCGCTTATTTTCAGCCTCGTTTCCATGGATACGACCTTACTGCGCAGTGTTACCTACAGTGCGTTTTGCGATCGGGAGGAATGGCGAATAAAGTCCTTTATCACCGCTCGTTCTCTCATCTTTGAAAGGGTAATCTAACTACTCACGTATAGTCTATTTTTTGTACGATCTTACCACAGCGCCCTCAACGGCGTCGTACGCAAACGTGGCCCTGTCCTCGAATTCTTCGTGGGTGGTCCTGATACCCGTGTCGATGACGTAGATGCTGACGCCTTTCCCGTCACCTATTATGAGGTAAAAATATGATTCGCCATACCGAAAAACTAACGCCGATATGTGTCACCCTTTCGACTAGATTCTCATTTATTGGATTTAAAGGCAATACAAACTTTTTAATAAACCACATTTATGGGTATATAATATTTATTAAAAATATTTATATTTATTTCGACTGATTTTCAGTGGCTCCTTGCTGTCCAGTCATATTCAACAATGATCCAATCCAATCTGATTAAAGTTGGAAACTGGCTACACAAGATGAATCAATTCGTGCAATTCCAACTTGCGTGATCGGTTGGCTGGTTCGAATCTGATGTACATGTAGCATAAGATGAAATTTGCTTCGGGGTGATGTAAATCGTTAGGTTTTGCCCTTCACCGACGTATAAACACTGTATACTCAGTGTGTTACCTCCCTGAGTGTACAGTGTTTATACGTCGGTGAAGGGTAAAACCTATCAACCCGACGCAAATTCCATCTTATCAACATTAAACAGTTTTATGTCACCACTTTTACACCAATCACATTTCAAGAGATACACACGCAGTGCAGAAGAGCACAAGTTTGCTGAAAGTATGAATCACGTGGCAATAACACCCAATTTTTTAAGCAAGTGTAACATGTCTATACCTTGATATGGACTGAATTTGTCGTCTAGAGGTAGCGACCGCTGGTCGATGCGGTCTAGCCCCCATGTCTCTGTGGTATACACCATTCCGTTTTCTTCCACGTATTTGACAGCAGAGTGAGCTCGCACCTAAATAAAAAAAATGAAAAATGAAAATAAAGATAAAACATTGCACATGCACAAAACTCTAAACAAGCTATGCATACAGGCTGTAGAAGAGATTTCAGCCAAGTAACGCCTACTCAATTATAAGAGGAAAATAAATATCAATATTGCCCTAGAAAAAAAATCCATTTAATGGATTTTCCTGGGTCCTACTAACTGATATATGGTCGAGACTATTTTAAATAGCCCTCAAATTGCCAAGGTGACCAAATCGCAACTTTATATACTGTCAATTTATCTCATAATAAAGCATCATGCGTCCTTTGCACCTGAGGGCTTGTTATATATAGGTTTCCAGCTCCAATTCAGTAGTTGAGATTGGATTTCTGCAGAAATTAGGATGATTTCGATGTTTCCTGTAATTAAATGAATCCAGAAACGAAGAGCATTTGCTCTGTATTTTAAAGGAACTAGAAAAGCCAGGCAAAATGAGTCGTGTATATATTATGCTTGATTTCCATAGTCATCTCCATACACACATTTAGAAACGCAAGAAAATAATATTTATGAAGCTAGAATACCTTTTCTTTAAAATGATTTTAGAAAGGAATCAGAATGCCACATTCGCAAATTACACTGTGCTAAATAGGCCTAATATGACATCTATCGATGCAAACATTTGAAAATCGGAATTAACAATGAAGCGGAGCCCAACGACGTTCAGGACCGAAATTAAAGTATCGTTCCATTGAATCATAAAAGTGCTAAAGTGAATGAGGGAAAGCAATATTGAATTCAAGACTATCTCATGTACAAAGTGAGTTTTTACATTTAAGTCGTTTTAATTAAAGGACTAAACCTAAGAACACTTTTTATTACTCGTAAGGATGCCAAATGTCTATATCAATTCAATCAACATTTATTTCTATAATGCCACAACTTAAAAAAAATGTAACAAAGTAATTACGATTATACATAGATCTTATAGATAAAAAAGAAAGAACAATAAATCAATGTGCAATTTTGGAGGCATCTTCCGAAGCCGGGGGCTTATATGGAGATGCCTTGACCAAGCAAAACCGAAATGACAACTCAACAAATACAGAGACAGACAATCGGACAAACATAAAAACAGTACACAAGAGACGAATGTAAATATTGAGGGATAAAACAGAATAGATAAGGCCATAAATGAATAACTCATGCAACTAGTCAAAATCAAAACAGTGCATAAATGTATAAGTAAAAATATAATCGAAAATAAATATATAAATAAACAGATGAATCAGCTGGTCAAATAAAGAATGGAAAAAAATCAAACACAATAAAGTTAAAGGTAACGAATTGGTTGAACAAAATGAATGATAGACAACAAATTCATTATAATCTTACGCAAAATAAACAAACAAAACAATCAAATGACAAAAAAAATAAATACGCGAAGAAAATAAATTGTAAATGAGACAATCATGGTGAACAATATAAGCCAGTAAATAAATGTTTTGGCTTTGCATGCATTCTGCAACAATAACAGTCCTCATCGTCAACCCTCCAAGTTTTACCTATTATCATCAAATTTCCTACACGATGGTCGCTTTACAAGGTTAAGTTGATAAAATTCGATTTCTTTTTGGAAAGGATGAGAGGAGTCCAATTATAAGGTCGCTCTGAATAGCTTTATGCCTTTATTAGAAATTGAGGGGGCAACCTCGTCTCCATGGCGTCAAGCAGTACGCTACCACAAGCGGCTTTCTGGCCCTTGTTCTGGATCATTAAAATATCCAAAAAATCTTGAAGATTAATATATATTTAGGGTGAGAAAAATCGGGTGCCTTCACAACGCTGTAAATTCTCATTTTTTTTAAAATTCATTGTGTAGGGAACAGACTAAATGAATTTGTCCTAGCCTTGGATCAGAAAAGTTTGATATTTCAAAGGCATAATCTTATCCAAATACTTGTTACACTGCATGTAAGCACATTGAAAGGGGAGAATAGTTTGAGGCAGATTGGACATAATAATTCACAGTGAACGTTGAAACATGTCAAACACGTCAGAAATAAAAACACGATATATAACACAGCAAGCTAGTTACCATTCCAGGGCCAACAGCATGTATTCCCTCCATGTTGAAAATAAACACTGAGAATGAGGATACTGCTTGCCTTTATTAAAAATTGATGAGGTCCCTGCTTTCTTCCTTCTTCCTCTTCTTTTTCCCAAGGAGAGAAGCTGCACGATCGAGCATGAAGGTAACGGTGTAAATGAAATTGCATCGATCGTCATCGTCGCTACCGTCCACGACAGTCTTTTGCTTTATTTCTGACTACAGAATCCGTTGAGATACAACGGATATTGCTTTTCTCTCGTTACGGTATTAGTTCGAAAAAAGTACGAAAACAAAAGACAGTCATGAGACCTGTTGACGTTATTTTGGTAATCGCCGGCCCTGTGTTCTTTTGGGTAGCCGACGGTGTGTATGCCACAACCGGCTGCCCTGTTGACTGGATACCGTGGGCAGGCTCTTGCTACCTGGGCCTGGATGGATCGGTGACCGGTGGCTGGGCTGCGGCCATAGAGAGGTGCGCCGATGAGGGAGGCTACATGGTCGTACCGAGCTCGGAAGCAGAGAACAGCTTCTTGAATGCTTCTTTCCGCGATACGCAGAATACTGTTATATCGGGTACTAGGTTTATCGGAATTTGGATCGGCTGCACTGACATCTTAGAGGAGGGAGTCTGGGTGTGCTCTGAAGGGGACACTACTGACGGATCCTATCGCAATTGGGAACCAGATCAGCCGGACGGTGGTCGTTATGGGAATGGAGATCAAGACGAGGCCTTCTTGATCACTCGCAACTACAAGGAAGGGCCTTCCATCATCGGCTACTGGGGTGACCGGGTCGGAAGTTTCAAATACATGTACATCATCTGCGAGCGGCCCCGCGAAGATGTTGTTAGCGGTCCGTGTCCGGCTAGCGTGCCTCCTACATTCTGCCTCCCGCTGGAAGGCGACTTGGGTCGGCCGCTGCTTGATCGCTGCCTGGTCGGTCACGTCTTGGATGAGTATCCTACAGCCGGAGTGTCGACTTGTGCGCGCAGGTGTGCGGAGCATCCCATCTGTCGGTCGTTCAACGTGAAGTGGGCAGATCAGGAGACGGACGGCGCGGTGTGCGAGCTCAACAGTGCCAGACGTGACGAGATCGCCAAGGAATTCTTCATTGAAACTGTGGCGTGCACTTACTTTGATATCTCATGCTGCTAAGTATTTCACAATGTTCGAAATTCTTACATTTTAGAACTTTGGAATCTACTTTAAAGTTGCATACACCATGCTCTTCAAAACAAAACGATTTTTTTTCTCACGGCGAGTTTTCAATGTGTATGCTCTGTTTATCTATTCCGATTTTGGGCGCACTCTATTCCGATTTTGGACGCCTGCATTCCCTGAAACATTCCTTTAAATTTTCAAACAATATAAACCCGCCCCGCGAGAGCCGAATTATTGTTTGGCAGCCGATGCTTAATTTTGTGAAGAAATAATTCGATAACTGAACGCAAGTGGATTTTATCGTTCGATGTCTCATTCATAGCGAGTAAACTTTATATTGCTAGGAAAATAGCAATACAAAAATGATTTGTCGAGGAGAAACTCGAAAATACCATAGGGAACGCATCTTTAAATAGAAGTTCGTTTCGGTTAATGTAAAAGATTGATATTATTTTGTATATATTGTACAGCCGTAGTTTAGAGATGCATTCAATTGAGTCAAGTAATGACCAACGATGGATCAAAAATGCCTTAGTATAAAATTAGTCTATTTTTGGCTTTCAAAAGAAACTGAAGGAATTCACTTACTCAACAACAATGGTTTCTACTAAAGGTAAAATTATTTTAAAAAACTCACAAAGCTAAGGGCTCGGCTAGACATGAAGACATGAAGGCCCTTCAGCACGGTGGAAAACAGACGGTTGACCCGGAAGGAGACATTCTCCGTCTGGGCCTGTGACGTCATCTGGCTGGAAACAGCCGACACATCTACATCGTCCTGAATGTTTAAAAACAAAAAGCAAATTCAGGATTTTGTCCCATCTATGTCCGTTGAACCTTTTTTTTCGTATATTCACTGAGGTCGATTACAAATATATATAATTGAAAACACATTGAATTTAATTCTAAGGCTGTCTGTAGTAGTAAAACCTATCTGCACAATTAACACACAGTTACAAGTTAGTGTTGTAAAAAAGCACTTGTGAAAGTTACGAGGGATATACATGTATATTTAAGACAAAATCCACTTAAAACTATACTAAAATTTGCTGGTAAAAGTTAGTTTGTTGACTGATTACATATTGCATTATCCTATTTTTTACAATTATTTTAAGCCACGTTGGACCATTTGAAATTACGTGGAAAAAGTACCTATCGATTTAATGACGGGAAACACTGGGTAAATTGGAGACAGGACTGGTATCAAATACCCTGTGAAATTATTTGGACTGAAATGGTATCGTTTGAAAGACAAATAGCATTGAATGTTGGAATTGAGTTACGAGACCCCAAAAGTGTACATGTATTTCTCTCATTTTTTTTTCAAAACGTAGAGTGACATTCACTGAGCTGAAATAGCAACAGTTAAACACTTTTGTTGCTTTAAACGAAGGAGGAAATGCGCAAAAGCAAATGAACATTAAGTTTTACTTTTAAGTTAGTTAACTTATTTCATTATCTGATTACCGTGTATTGCGAAACAATTTAATGCCCTTTTATCAGAGGGATTGTTTGAGGTTGTCTATCGTAGATTATGCACTTAAACTGTAGCTATTTTCAGTGTATGTGAGCATAACCTAACTGTTCACTGTAAACTTAATTGTATTAGGCATATTTCTTTACAGTTCAGCCGTTCAATTTCAAATTTCGATTTACAAATTAAAATTCAACTTGAAATTTAACACCATTTGTTATATTTCAGAGCATTCCTGGTTCAAATCCCTTGCGAAGTAGGTCTTGTTAAGACCGAAACATCAGGCAACTAATTTTGTTGATTTTTCAAATCCCATAGGATGAACCAAACCAACTTATTATAGATATAATATTGGCCCTATTGGCCTTCAGTAACTGGTACACGTGTATACACAAACGCCACCGCATAAAAACATACATGTATATTGATTGGTTTAAATGACAAAAAAGGAGAAGAAAACACATCGACGCGGTATAAAATGAAATGAAATTTCAAGACAGCAGAGAGCGTGAAAAAAATGTTGATAGTGGCTTGTGAAAGATGAAATGTTCGTGTTTAAATGGAAAATGTATGCGCAAAACATGGATGATTCCTTTTCAACAATAGGCCTACATGATGTTCATGGTTGCTTACGTTCAACACGATGATGTAGTCATCCAACAGTCTGTCCTCGGCCCGGTAGAAGGGAGCCAGGGACGGCCTGGCACCAGCCATACACGCCAGACACGTGGTTGCTACGGCAACCAGCGCCAGTTGCTGAAGTCGGATCATTCTCTAGTCTCACTAGTAACTAAATTAAAAATAAAGGAAAATTCACGCGGCCTCAAAAAACGATTATAATAAATAAAATTAATAAAATTATTATAAGTTAATTTACCTCCGTAACGCACATAATTGACGGTGTTTCAATACCAGATTTTGAGTCTCTTTTTTTTCCAATTTGATGTCTTGGTTAGTATTAAAAGGGAACCAAACTGAAGGTTGTATTGATCTAGCAAGCCAGTGTGATTTGAGGGTTACGAGGGTTGAAAGTATTCTCTAGAGTCAATTCTCCTCCAGAATTCACATAATAGATGGCGTTTGAAAAACTTCTTCTCTATTTTTTGTATATGAGAAAGATCTTAGCAATGAACCAAAAGATAAATTATATTGATCTAGCAAACCGTCGGCGTTATTTGCGAAATTTGGGTCAATTTGTGGCTGGGGCCTCACGAGGGTTGAAAATATTAGTTGAGAGTCAATTGACCTCCAGAATTCACATAATAGATGGCATTTGAAAACCGTTGGGGTTTTTTGGGTTTTTTTTTTTTGTAAAGAACCACACAAAAAAACATTTTGATCTTGCAAGCCAGTGTGATTTGGGGAAAGTAGGTCAATTTGGGACTGAGGCCCTACGAGGGTTGGAATTATTAGGAGTCGATCCACCTCATTACATACAGAATTGACGATTTTTGAATACCTGCTTTTTCTCTTTTTTTTTTTAAAGTACAAAATCTTAGTAAGGAACCAAAAGGGGAACCATATTCATCCAGCAAACCAGTGTGATTTGGAGAAGCCATTTAACTGAACAGTCTCAAAAGAGCATTCAATCCTATGTTATGTGTTAGTACGTATTTTCCATAAATGTGTTTTGGCCATTTTGGCCATGTCTTTAAGTATAACAGCACACACTAATATTGTTGCCACGCCCAGGTGCCCCCGCAAAAAAAAATCTGAGTAAACCCTTTATGCCATTTCTTGACTTTTCAACTGCAATTATTTTAAACTGTTTTCTTTTTTGCCATTCAAATGGCAGTTTTCCAGAGCAAAATGTTACCCCCCCCCCTTTCTCTTGAGATAAGGGCACACATCAAGGGTGACAAAATCATGGGACAGAAAATTACCAATTTATCGATGGTAGAGTGATGCGAAATACATGTAGGCCCTACATGTATACACCTTTTCATGTGCAACTTGCGCAAAAGTAGGAAGTTATAGCGTGAAGATAAAAACTTGTTTAAAATAATACCACTCACCTGAACGGGTCACAAACTGGCAAAACAAATGCTTTCTGTGGTCTATACTTCCGATGATATTTCACCTGGCATGTAACACTAACAGCTGTTCGGGGTATTAACTTCCTCATTCAGACAAATCCAACATGGCGGCCATGCACCCTTGTTGTTATCTAATGAGTTATTATTAGATGTGTATACCACCCAGGATTAAGTTCAGTATTATCGTATAATCCGGATGATAAGAGATTAGTCACGTGGATATAAGCATATACTTGCGTAACGACCCCAAGATGATTAAGGTTTGTTTGTTTGGAAACTAATGCTCGTTAATGATTTTTATGAATGCCTGTGACATATGCATAATCTTGATAATATCAGGTGAGAAAAAAAATGAGGGGTATGGGTTGTTACAACAAACTCGCAGTTTCGTAACCAGATTCGCCGATCCTGAAATTTAGCGACGCCGTGGATTCGGATAGGGAGCAGGACATCCTTTGACATTCGGGGCCGCGCCTGCTAAAAAAAAATGGCACTGGATGCCCTCTGACACTTGGTGGCGCTGCAGCTCGCGATGGCCTATTTTGCCGACAGTTTGGTCGAAGACCAGTACACATGTAAATAAATTGCCATAGACCCCAGTGATAAATTCACCCACTTCCAAAAATCCTGGGGGATCACAACTCTCCAACGTGTTTAATTTTGACGAATTAAAGCTTATTTCATCATCTTTCATTTTCTGATCAATTTCTGATGATTTCCATCCAAAGATGATCACCCCTAAAAGTAGTCCTAAAGCCCATCGCTACTTAAAAAAATTATGCCTACGTTCCATTGCAAAATAGAGCAATTTTAGGGCCCACTTTCATTACTATTCCACAGAAATACAAGCTCGCAGTTCTGTTCACGGCTCCCACCCTTCTTGTTTGCAGCAAACCGTTAAGTTCCTGCCCCCTCAAACGACTAATAGCAACAAATTTGAGGGCATGCATATTATTATATCGGCCCTCTTTACTGGCCTGCAACCGTAGAAGGAATTCCAGTCGCCGAAATAATAATTTGCATGCCCTCAAATTTGGAGTGCTGTGGCCTCGTAGTTAAGGGCACTGGATTCGTGGTCTGTGGGTAAATGAGCTGCGGGTTGTGGGTTCGAGTCCAGCCGGGGGCATGGTGCGTGTGCCCTTGAGCAAGGCCCTTCGTCACTCATTGCTTCTCTCCACCCAGGAGTAAATGGGTACCTGTGAGGGCAGAGATGGTTATTGTGATTGAATCAGCTTGCTTGCGCCTAACAGGCAGCATCGAGCTGTATACTCCCCAGGGAGCTGAGATGGTATTTGGAATTATTGGCCCAATGATCAGGGGTAATAATAATACTGTAAGCGCTGTGATTTAGTTTACTAATAAGAGCGTTCTTAAATGCCGATTATTATTATTATTATTATTATTAGTCACTCGTGCCCAAAGTCTTACCGTTTGCGGTGAACGAAAGCTATCTGCTTTCGGCTTGCGTGTTGAGCGCATGCGTGCTTCTGTCATATGACGTAAAAAGGCAAAATGGCTGCGCTCAGTGATTTCTCTGAATCCGAAATGTCCACAAGGGAGGAGGAAAAGCTTTTGCTATTGCTCTTGTTGCTGCGTCGCCGACGACGACGTTTTAATGCAGCATGCCGTAAAACATGGACTAAAAAAATGGATCATGAGGAGGCAGGGGTACGGAGCGTATTCCAACTTAGTTCAAGAGTTCTCCGTCGACGACCCCGAGAAATGTCGCCAATACCATCGGCTTTAAAAATCAACAAGTTTGTCGTCCAAGATTGCAGTCGCCACTAATTCACTAGGCGCAGCCATTTTGCCTTTTTACGTCATATGACAGAAACACGCATGCGCTCAACACGCAAACCGATAGCTTTCGTTCACCGCACACGGTAATACTTTGGGCACGAGTGACTAGAATTATCAAACACGCTAGATATTTGGCGCAGCGTCACGAATGACCAAAATTTTGGTAAAACTGACCGCACACGGGAACTATCCGTCATCCAGGCCACGAATGACTTTTTGGCGAAGCAGATAGCTGAAGTGTGCGCCAGACTTTAGCTTTCATGAAGGCGTAAAAAATTAAGCGTGCAAAGGCATTTGAAGAGCGCCATCATCCAAGCTTGCAGCGAGCTTGAGCATTGTCACCGCGGAATCGCAATGACATCTCCTCATAAGGCAGATCCGGGGAGGGGCAATAACCTCCCCATGCCATTTGTTTGTTTTGTGAAGACAAGTACATGTATTGTTAAATTGATGCTATCATGTTACTTATCCCCTTTCTCTCTATAGGCATTAGTTACATGTACATATGAAGAAAAAGAGACATAAGAAAAGACGAAAAGGAGTAGCTTCAGCGTCAACCAATCTAGATCCAACTCCCCCTCCCCCACTTTTTATACTTGATTGGCCGGCCGAGACCCCCTCCTAAAAAGAATTTGCAAGCAATTTGCATCTGCCGCTGGTACCGAATCGCACGCGCATGCAAGGTCCAAACCTCTAGAGGGCTCTCCAAAAAGATTGTTGACGATGCAGTCTTTATTTTTTATGTTAAAAAACAATCAGCACCTTTTTCAATCATTCTCTTAAAGAGCAATGCAATGTAATTTGTTGATGCAATCCTTGAAGATGAACCTTTGTGTCCTATGTTATCTTATTTTTTATTTTCATTTTGCCATTTCAGGGGTGTTTTGTTGCCTTTTGGGGATTTTATGCTAATGCAATTTCCATATTCATTAACAAAAGAGTGACGTTACTTCAGGCAGAAACCTTCATGTTACAGCTATTTCAGCACCAAAAAATGCCAGAATTTTGGATATTTTGCTGTTGTAAAACTTCCTTTCTTTGGTGATTCGGTGTTGTGTCAGTATACATGGCAGTAAGCCAATGAACAAATTTGTTCGCAATTTTTTTCAATGAACAAATTTTTGGGTTCACAATTTGAACACAAAACCCCTCAACAGAACAGTGTCTTCCTGAAATGACATCACAGCAAGAGTGCCCTCAGTTGTCAGGAAAAGCATGCACATTAAAGAAGTGTATTTTTCAATAAAAATAACCAAAAAGGAAATACTAATATTCATAAATTCTTTATGACCAGTGCTACATCTCGATTGTTTACATAAACAAAAAATAAGTTAAAACTGCAGACCTGACGTTATATTATTGATAAAAAGATCAAAACCCAGTACACTATCGTTTTCCAGTCACACAACTCTATGATTAACGCGACATTTGACCAAAAGACAAATTTGAATCATCTCCATGCGAACTTATTTATTGAGAAAAACAAATGTAACACAATTCGCCAAAAAAATACTTGCCTGTCTGTCAAAGATTCGGCTGTTGAAAACACTCTTGTAAAATTGTAATCAAGATGTAATCATGAATGAATTATCGAACTTATACAAATTAGGGTTTTACTTAGATTTTCAGCTTCGGCTCACCAGAAAGTGGGCACCGAACGTCCCCAATCATTTTTACCCGACCCCTATGTCGAGTACATGTATTGGCATGGTACACGCAACAAAAATGATTTTGATTAATAATTACAAATTGTGTGGCATTTACATTCAAAAACAATAATATTAAGGCAGCATATACAACGGGCAATGTAAAAAAAAAACACTGACTAAGACAAAACAGAACGCTACACTAGATGAATTCTAACACAACCGATTAATCTATTGTCATCCCTGCATCTTCGTCGTCAAGTTCCTTTTTTATCACAGATGCCAAACCGATCTGAAACTCTTCTAGCCAGGCAGGGGGGAAATGATCCCTTACAACATTTTGAAGAAGAGAGTGTTTACGACTTTCCTAACATTCTAAAAATGCGGCGGAATTCCAATACTGTCCAAATCCATCTCTGTCCAAATATGACCAAGAAGACATTTTCAGGATGCTCTTCATCGTTTATAGTAGAACGAAGGTGGGTCGACCATACTCCCCTTGCGCCTGACATAACGGCAAGTGTTGCTGATCTGTTGGACTTCCTTAGCCGTGGCTTCTCTTGACTTGGCGAGCTGTTGTGGTACGTACGGGGTCGTTGTCGTGCCCTGATGTGGCGGTGCTGCAGGCTGAGCCTGGGAGGCCTCGGAACCGGGGGCTGGCTTGGGGTTCATCTGGGTCTGCTCGTAGAGTGACGGTAGCTTGGTAGGGGCACCGTAACCCTTCACCTCAAACTCTTGTTCCGTCTTCGAGGGCGCCTTAGCCAGCCGGCGGACGTTCAGACCGATGTCTCTCCTCTGTGAGGTCTTGGTTCCCTGCATGTAGGACGGCACCGAGCGGCCGCCCTGGGAGCTGGACGAGCTCAGCACGGAGGTGCTACGCCGTAGACTTGGCGGTAGATCCCGGCGGTCCAGACCGACGATGGCGTCGCTGGGCAGCTTACCGTAAGCGCTGGACTGTTTCAGCGAGAGGGCCGGTGCTGCTGGTTTCTTGTGAAATGACATCTTGTCTGCCTATTCCATTAATCGGGAGTAACTCAGATGTCAAAACAATTAAGTGCATGTATTATCCGACGGAGTGCAAACATAGAGTCGCTCGTGTTTCAACAAGCCAAAGACAGCAGTCATCCCTTGTAGTGTTTACATACACGTGTTCATGTCTGACCAGATGCCTCTTTTAGAACCAGAAAGCTGAAGCCAAACCTGAAACTTGAAGTCTATCGTCAGCTTGAGTTGATCTTTTCCAAGGAAACTGCAAAAACATTTCCAAGATCGCAGATTTGCTAAATCTGCTCAAAACACACTTGGTGTCAGATTATTCAGAGTATCAGGCGTGGGGCAACTCAGACAACTAGCACGCTAGACGTTTTACACGCATGTTGTTAAGCGCTGGTAGAAACACAAACTATTGAGCCAAATTGATGTCTCCTTACAATTATTTACACCCATCTTAAGCTATAAACTCCTTTCTTTGTCAGGCTATGGTCAGGCACAGATACAACAAAGCGATTAGCCCCAGCGATCGATTGTCTTCAAGTCACGGGTGAATCAACACATCGGACCGATAACTACACAAAGCATGCGAAATGCTCTCAGCTGGCGGATCCCAGCGGGTATCCTGACAACTGAGCATGCGCAGAGTAAACCCGGTCTTTTCTTAAGCTAAGGTGTGCAGTTGGGCTTAAGTTCGAATCAATAATATTGCACATCGGA